TGCTGAACATATCTGATATGAGATTTCCAGGAGAATTTGTCATCAACTATGACACCTAGAAATTTAATTTCATATACTCGTTCTATATTAGCTCCCCCGATTTTCAATTGAAGTTCGTTATCTAGTCTACGATTCCCAAATACCATGAATTTAGTTTTATCCAAATTCAGAGATAGAATATTACTGTCACACCATTTCTTTATCTTCTCAAGTTCCTGTGAAACTTCATAAAGACTAGTTTTACTTTATGGCTCATCTGCTTTGTTTCATCTCCTCACTCAGGACAAGGATTTGTGCTTTTCACTACCACGTATCTACTGTTAATTCTGTACAATTCTCTGTAGCGCACATTAAATTGTAAAATAGATGTAAGATGTGCAAAACCCCCCGTGTTCTTCAGGGAGGTGGGAGCTTTTTGGGGGACCTGAACTACCCGCAAGGACAGTCATGTAAACCTCAATGGACTGAAAAAATCAATTCAGTTCGATTTAAACATTTACTTAACATTAGATGAGTCACTGAGAGAATCCACTGAGCTCCAGTCCTGAACCACAAACTAAATGACCGTCCTGTCACACCTGAGTACCAGTGGCAGCAAGCCCATTTATCTAAAAGTCATTTCTGAAAGATCTATTTTCCTTCAGCTATAAAACTAAACTCTCACAGTGCTGCATACTTTCACCTACATTTGTCTAAAAGCCTTAATCACTTTTACCACATGTTCCGTTTCAGAGCTACAGGGATGAAATTAAATTAGAACATAAATGTGGTAATGAAATGAGGAGTTGCTACGATACTGATGTCGAATTCTAAGTTGTCCCATGCAGATCGTCAGATGGGTAAAGGCAACATGGGTAGTCTCTGTATGTCCACCTGCGTTCAGAGGTCTGAGTCACCATATTGCTCTTACCAATCAAATACTGTTAGAGCTACAAGACTGTCAGTGGTGAGAGGGTATTTAGGCCGGGCTTGCTGATTGGCTCCTACGGCTCTTCCTGTAGAAACCACACCTCGTTGCGGCGTCCGTAAGGCTTGAGTGGTGAGTCGTAGCTACAGCAGAAGTACTGCTTACGCTGATATGGAGCCGTCTCACCCAGGGTGCGTGTCAAACGCAAGGCCTCTGCTCGGTACTCACTCTCCCCCGCGAAGCCTCCAAACTGCCTGTGTACACAAAAAGAAACAGGGATCATCTAAAGTAGGTGGATAATTAGTGTTAATTGAACTGGGACTTTAATAGATGCACTCTCACAAAAAGCACACATGCACACTGATGTTTAAAACAAGTACCAGACAGGTCAAGTAATCACGTCTGAGGACCGGCTCCTGCTCTATATCCCTGAAGGAGACTAAACAAGGCCTCCAAAAATACAGCAACTACACGTGTACTTGCTGGTTGTAATTGGTTTCAAGCTTGTGGAGAGACACGTCATGTCATAGAACTCTTGTACGGGAGACGTCTTAAACTCGTTCCTTGTACAGACAGGTGCCAAACTAAAGGACGACCCAACACAGAGAGTCTCAGTGAGGTGCTGGGCCACCACGTGCACCAGAACAGCTCCATCTTGGCACTGACTCTTTAGGAGGGATGAACACTGTTCTTCCAACAGATGTTCCCTCATGTGGTGTTGTGATGATGGTGGTGGAGACGCCGTCTAACACGTCACTCCAACACCCTCCTTAGCTGTTCAACTGGGCTGAGACCTGGTGACTGGGAAGGCCACAGCGTCTGGTTCACACCATGGTCACCAAACCATTCAGTGACAACTATGAGGAGGGCACTGTGATCCTGGAAGAGACCACTTTTTCCTTTAATTTGTCACCGTCTGTACATCAACATGTTAGAATGAAACACTAAACACCCACAGAGCATAGACGGTCATGCCGGGCCGCTCCTCAATCCTGACGGCACTGTCGGTGGGGGTTGGGGGGCATTGCTGGTAGGGGGAGGGGACTTTGATGGCAACTGCCAACCGGCGAGACAGCACTCCGTCGTTCCGTGGGTACACTGTGATGATGAGGGGAGCTGCTGTACCCATGGCCTCACCTTAGGAGGTGAAGTGTGAGACAGAAAGTGAGTTAAACAGAGAAGAGACGGCAGAGAAGCTCCACCGTCTCCCAAAGCAAACTACACAGAGTTTGGGATTTCTGTGATTTTGGGTTGAATACATACTGTAATACCTTTATGACAGTTTGTAACCAGGTGTCTGCTGACCCAGAGTGGGAAACATGACCTAAATGGACTTTGGTGTCTGAGCATTATTCCAATGGATCCTCCAATAAAGCTAAGGCACTGTAGCTCAGCCGGCTGTAACACGAAACCCAACCAGGACTATCAACGTTTGACTCATTATCTTTAATCATATAAGCAAGTCCAAGATTAGTGAAAAGCCTTTTTTTTTTTTTTTTTTTTTTTTTTTTTTTTTAAATACCCACAAAAACAAGAAAGATAAAATCAATTCATGAGTCAGAGAGATGATAAAATGTTGAAGATGCAGCAGGAGGTTTTGTTTCCTGACCGGTTTACCTTGTTCGTTGCTCCCACCGATGTACATGAGCAGCTTCCTCACCAGCTCCCCTGTCACTTGGTCAAAGGTTCGTCCCTCAGAGGAGACGACAGCGTATTTGGCAGGATCGTACCGCCGTACCTCAAAGCTAACTCCATCCTAGAGAATAAAGGGAAATCGGGGGTGGCTTAGTCGGCCAGTCCCAGCTACACACTGTAGGACACACACACACACACGCTGCAAATGCTTTTATGTACATACAGTACATCCCCCCACACATACTAACACAACTGGTGATGAGTGCAGGCAGGAGAGAGGTTAAGTTCAACCATGATTCACCTCTGACACACTGATGACGACAGTGTACTTCTAAGGACTAAAGCCTCATGAAACTAGTGTGGGCAGCGAAAGAACAGGATGCATTTGAAACATATTTACACTGATTTGGTTTGGTCTTGTGCTCTGCAGATGCACACTTTTATATAACGTCTCAGGAGCAAACACACACAACCCGGCCCCCTCCTCAGACATACAGTGTTAATGTGTGGCAATATATAGTTTGTTTTGCAGATTTTTTGTTTTTCCCAACATGAGCACAGATGGATAACTGAACGGGCCCAGAGGCCAGGGCCCAAGTGGTCAGGGGGCCCCTAGACCAGAGGCTGTTACAAAAAGAAACAAGACGACTAAAAAGAGACGGAAAAGACCCCAAACACAACAAAACGACTACAAACATATGCAGGAATGAAAAAAAGAAATGCAAAAACTACCAAGACATGCAAAACAACTGAAACTAAAGCTACCACTTTACCGCTGTATGCCTCCACCAACCAGTCAAATTCATGGAAATGGCACAGATGTGAGGTCACTGACCTTGACCTTTGACCACCAAAATGTAATCGGTTCATCCTCAAGTCTAAATAGACATTTGTGGCAAATTTGGAGAAATGCTCTCAAGGTGTTCCTGACATACTGCATTCACAAGAACAGGACGGACGGACAACCTGAAAACGTAATCCCCCCGGCTGTGGCCGTCGCCAGCGCAGGGGCATAAAAGTAGATACGGACATGTAAAAGTAGGCACAAAATCACAACAAGCACATGTAAAACAAGTACAAATTAACACATATCGACTGAAAACAAGCACAAAAGTGGTATACAGCACACAAAAAGGCCCCAAATGACTACAAATCATGTGGTTTCTCAAGGCGGGGGCCTTTTACACATTTGAGCCCAGTGGCCCATTGTCTAATAAGCCATCCATGAATACTAGCAGCAGAGAAGATGGCGACCTGCTCAGGGCTACGTTTGCACTGCACGTTCTCATTCAAACATGTTATTCTAAAAATATCATGCAAACGATTTTGTCTTCATTTTGTAAATGAATGAGTCTTGGTGTGTTCTCCATCTTTCACCTGCTGGATTTGTATTACTAACAACTTTACATCCACCTATTCAAAACCCACCCAGTCGCCCCAGAGCCCTGGAAAAACCTGTGAACTGGTTCTATAAACAGACGCCACAGCCGCATCCCTTCCTCAACAAGATAACACTATGTTATCATGTAGGTCTAACTTGTGACAGGTACACTGGCTCCTGCATAGTAATTACTAAGGTTTTGCTCTGCATGGGGTGTCATTGGGACCACCATTAACACTGTGTATGGGTGACATTAGCAAGAGAGCAGAGCCTGGCTGCAGTACAGATGTGCAATTAATTTGTCTGTCATGTGTCTGGTGGTTGTGTGCATGCGTGTGTTTAGCTGCCGTCGATGCCACTTTATGCAGTGATAATTACTCACTGCCTGAACTGAGCACACGAATGGTATCATCAACACTGGGACTGTTAAACTGCATTGTCATTTCATTTTCTGTTTAAATAACCTTGGAAATTAATTAGCAAATATATAACTTATTTCACCTGCTGTATATATTGCTGCTGTTCTGCTGTGAATGTGCATGTGTGCGCGCATAGGTGTCGAGCAGCTCCTCTGTTTTTGTGTCACTTTTAATTAAGAGTGTTGGGTGTCAGAGTCGGTGGCTGCTCCGCAGATCAGCTGACGAGCTCCGGTTTCAAAATGTGCCGTTTGCTAAGTGTCAGTCAAGTCCGGAGATTTGATGAACCTCCTGCTTTGAGTTTTCAGAGACCGTTAAGGAACACGTGTAGTGACTATCAGTAAGTAAAATAATTTAAAAAACAGTCACTGCTGCCTTCAGTGGTCTATTTCTAAATCCCAGCTTCAGTCAGTCATCGTTAGTATGCAGTGTCAGAGTAGCTCTGCCTTTCTCTGGGTGTCTGGGTCATTGGACTCACTGTCAAAAGTTACCTGTGATCAAAGAGAGATAACAAAGCCTCTTTCAAAACCTGGACGGATTATGAGACAATGGGCCTCTGGGTACCTCCTCCATGGGAGCCAGACTCCCAGATTGATCAGCCATGGGATTTGCAGTCAGTTTGTCTTCTTCTGGTTGTTTTTGCAACTCTTTTTAGCCATTGTGTTGTTTAAATTGTTTGTTATAGTCATTTTGCACCTGTTTTTACTTGTTTTGTATCAATGATTTTTAGCTGTTTTGTGCCTCTTCATGTTGTTTCATGTATTTTCTGGTGGTTTTGGGTCTTTCCTGTCTCTCTTTAATAATTTTGTATCTGTTTTTGGTGGTTTAGCTTCTTTTGTTCTCATCTTCCAACAGTTAATTCAGGGTTCCCTGGTCTAGGGGCCCCTGGGCCTGTGTCCGGCAGGCAACCAGCCATGCCATAACATGCACATGTACAGCAGGTGGCTGTTAGGCACTGAGTTTGCACACATTAAACATACTGTAAGAAACCAACATGAGTGGGGGTGGGGGTGCTGCCAACGAAAAGGCGCGTTCTCCCTCCTCTGTGACGTCACGGTCAGGAGGAGTGTACACATCCAATCCAAATGAGCTCATGGGTTAACCACAGACACATCCAATCTGTATCCATTTCCAGGACAGGGTCAGTTAACTTGTCCCCTGTGGTTCCACGTGCACGTGCGCGCGCAGTACCGCTTCTTAAAATGTCACAATGAAAAAGGAGCCACCTACAGCTTTGTGCGCAACAACAAAAAGCACCTCAGAAACACAATCTTTGCTCATTTCTGCCTTGTTGACTGGCACAGGACCTGTGGCTGGTTAGTCCCCACACTGCGGCTCAGCAGGCGTCCTTATAGGTCACAAGTAATTAGCTGGCAGGCTGGCAGTCAAGGTTACAGGGGTTGTGATAATGGCAGGAAGAACGCTGCAAATTCGGCAGCTATTTTAAACAAACCATCAAGAGTAGAACATTAGTTACAGTAAGTGCTGGGTAAGATATCCAAGCTAACAGAGCAGCACAGTACAGCGGGGTTACTGTGCGTAATCATAGTCGCACACGCTCCAAAAGGCATGGAGAAAAACGCACAGGACAGTGATTACAGAAGCTCTAAAGATATATCTCAGTAGTTGTGTCTGACAGGTGTCCTTACACCGCCTACCTTCATCTCACTGCTGAGCAGTGTGTACTCTGTCTCTTCGGTGTTTCCGAAGAGCGAATTCTTGATCATGCCAAACATGTCACCTCTCCGCTCCTTTGGGTTGTTGGTTGTCGTCCCTGTTGTCCTTCTGCTTGTTTTAATCAGCCTGCTCACTCGACAGCGTCCTTATGTGGTCGTCAAACTCCTTGAAAAACGTTGATAAACAAGCCTAACTTACAGTGGTGTCCAGATGCTCCAAAGCGCAAATCCCCTTCCAGGGCGATTCCCGGTGCGCGCTTTGTTCTGGTGAGCACCGAACTGCCTCCTCAACAGATGTTTATTTGTCCTTACGGAGACAGAAGTTGGAGATGCTCACTCGTCGCCCCTTTGCCTAACTAGAGAACGAACAAATCAGCCTCCACGCTGGTTGGTGGAGTGTCTCCGCCCCCCTCCTCCGCTTCTAAATTGTCCTCCTACCAGCTTGAGACGCTTTTATCAACACTTTTCGCTCATTAATGTTTAAATCAATTTGAAGCTGGGCATCAAGGTGCCAGCAAAGGGCCTGGTATCCTAAGCTTATTAATCCCCAGATGAGTTCAGGTTGCGCTGACATTAAAAATACATTGACTTGAATGAGTAAAGTCTGGGTATGAGATGTAGCATCATACGGAGTCACCTCCTCCGAGTCTCCCCACTAATCTTCACTGTCACTCGGCTTTTGTATTGGTTTCTCTCTCATCCCGTTTGTCATGACTCTCTACTGCAGGATACATGAAACAGTGGCGCGTGGATGACCACGTTTATATATCGTTTGCTTTTTGCGCAATATAAATTCTGACGCAAGCCGTTGCCTTGTCAGTTTGCATCGGGCTTCTATCCAGGGATGTGAGTGCGTCTTACTCCCCGTGTTACTGTGCGCTGCTGTGCTTTAGGGGTAGTCTATTTAAATTCCGACTGAAGGCAACGTTAGTCATCACTAGGGAGTGAGAGCAAACAGGAAGCTTCGATTTAATGAAAAGGTGGCATGTAGCCTGTAACAAACAAACACTGATGGAGGGAAAAGCAGAAGCTCACTGCAGCAAATGAAACACGTGGGCTACTGGACGCGGGTGGACGTTCACTGGATCCACATGCAAATCATCCCTTTGAATTTTCTGAATGTGTATTGAAAAGATTTCTGGACTGTCACACAGTTGAGGATGCAGCTTCACTGTCTGCAGAGGGTTTCCTCTTCGATGATGCTGTTGTTTCTGATAATGGGGACATGTCCTCTTGTCCCAGGACGTAATGTTACAGCCACTGATGCACAAGGCCTCTCTGTGTCTCTGTAAGCTGCATTATGTAAAGAACAGTGGCTGTCAGTATCTGATATAATAAGAATGATTATTATTATTCAGCCAAATGATTTGCTTGTTTTGAAACTGAGGTTAAATATTTATCATGAATAAACAAAACACAAAAAAGGATAATAAGATAAGTCACAACTGCAAATGTCAGGATATACCCAGAAATGTCTTTGACATCTTGTGCATAAGAACAAGAGCAACACTGGATGAGATTATGATGAGATTATGGTGTCCACACTCATCAGCATCAGGCTCCATCCTCTGAGGCTGAAACCGATGAGTTAAGACAAACCAGTTCCAAAGACACGAGGCTGGAACAAGCTCTAAAATACTGACAGATAATGGAACACAAAGATTAGTAGTGAGAGATGTTTGATTTTTAATAAATCTGCAGAAAATGGAAAACATATTTTCACTTAATATGTTAAGTGTAGACAGATTTTATCCAAATGATATCTAAACAGTGCAAAACATGAAGCGGTCTGAACAACTTTTGAAGCCATTGTACGCTGCAGCTAATTTGTGATGCATTATTTACTTTTACCTGGTTCCTTAAGTGAATCCACGAGAAAGCACTTAGTCCGTTTGCTTTTACACTTAGAAACACAAACATAACCTTTAGCATACTCGTACACAGATTATTAATCCCAGTTTGTTTTCACAGTGGCTTCACACTCAGATTAGACTATCATATGCCATTCCCTCGAACACGAGGACAAATTCAAGCTCCTTCATAGCAGTCCATGATGATGCAATCTCCAGTCTAGTGGACTACAGTCACAAATCCATCCCTTTGGAGTCGACTTTCCATGAGGCAGATGAATCATTCACACACAATATTTCTGAGGAACTTCACAGTTTTCTTCCCATGCCCTCATTTCTCCCAGCCTTTACCCCCTGGCTGCGTGGGCAGCCTGAGCCCCACTAGGCCGGCCACTTCTTCTGCACTGCGCTCTCCCTTGCCATGGTAAAGGTTATGCAGGGCCAGGTAGTTCCTGGTAGATGCCAAATAACACAGGTACGTGTGTGAGGCATGGTGTGCCTCCTGCTGGGCACGGCAGTACCTCTCTCCTGTTACCTGTCAGCAGTGACAGAGAACATATGAGTGTACTAAATTCAGTAGATAGTTTCTGGAATGTGGTGATTTCCTTTAAACAGAACTGGATTTTTGTTGTTGTCTTGTTTAGTAAGTCAGTCACTGCAAAAAACAATCAAATCACATCTGTCAAAAAACCCCTTAAGATCTAACTGGACAACATGGAGTTAATACTGTACCCTGATCATGGGCTTTTCCTTCAACTGGCCAGCTACACGGACAGATGCACTTAGCCCAGATCATACAGATCTTACATGATAATGGCTTTGGATCTTTTCAGAGCTCGGACAAATACACAGTGACAAGCAAGAGTTCCTTCAAACTGTTTCGCTTCACTGACTGCATTTTACCAGCCTGGTGAGCCATGTGCTCCCAAGCATTAGTAATACAAGCTTTAAGCCTATATACTTTAGTATTTTAACCCTTAAACAGGCAGCTGTGTACTGGGTAAAAGAGAAACAAAGACAGGGTTATAAACAGCCTGTTAAAGGCAGAAATGTTATACACAAATTAAAATGTATAGGACACTTTAGTGACCATGTCCTTGACTGAAAATACATAAACAAACAATCCCAGTTGATTAACAATTAGTTTGTGACAAAGTGATAATCTGATTAAAACTTAAGTATTTCTGCAGCTTGTTAACTGTGAAGTTGAATGTGGTCATGCAGAATGACTTCTAAAACCTTACATTTATTACATATAAAACATTTTAAACATAGCTACGAACATTTATTTAACCCGACAGGTGCACACGGACACCAGAATGCAGCCTGCACTGTGGAGTTTGTATGGTTAATTTATTATTAGACTGACAGGGTCGTTTATCCCCTGCGTCTTAAGTATGCTAATGCTCATTAGCTGCTGGCTAATGTTAGCATGCCCTGCTTCACAGTCACCTTGCGCCTAATGGTTGGCTGTGAAAATTATAGAATTAGCAAAAACAATGCTCCGGTCCCAGGCTGGATATTCACTCTATTCCCACGTTTTTTGAAAGACTGGAGTACTAAAAATGTTCAATTAATAAAACAAAATGGTAACGTCATCGTTCAAGAGTTGTAGGGTTAGCTGACGATAGCCATGCAGTTTGAAATGGATGTTAGCTAGCTAACTTGGCTAACATTAACAGTCCTTGGAAAAACTCGCCTTATTTTTTCGAAACTGGTCCATAACATAGTTGTAGGCCAATGACTGTTTGTAACTTGGCCCTTGGAGGTAACGTAATTCCCTCAGTATACCCCGACAAACTCGTAGCGGCAGTGACAGCGGTTCCATCTCTCTCTTGGTGTCATGAGCATACAGCTCATGAAGCCAGGCGTTCTCTATCAAACACGGCACAGTCGATCAAGGTTCTCGACCACAAGGCGGCGCCGTGCCACACTAAGTTCATAACACGTACCTACCTACAAGCCGACAGGTTCCTGCAACAGTTTTAAGGTAATAGGAACGTAAAATATCCACCGTTAAACTGTAGACGAACGCACTACTGTCATTTGCAGTGTTCTGATGTGAACTGTACGCTCAGTTCCATTGTGTAGCCTGTTTGTCATCCTTTTTTATCAGATAAGTTTCACCTTCTCATAAACCTCCTCCTCCAGAGCTCAGCCCTGCTGTAAGAACTCATGGTTAAAGGTTGATATAATAGTTACAGGTTCATATCTAAGGGGATCCTTTCTTGTATTTAAAGTGTTGAGCCCTAGTTGCTCTACTGTAGCAGAAGGCGCTGGCTGTACTGAGCTCACAGGGGCAAAACGTAATTAGGACAAAACCGTGTATGCTCAGTAACAAGTGTCAAAAGAATGTTAACTGTAGCATTTATCACCTTGTTCTTTTTTCATTGGTTATTTATTGTATTTTCACAGAAATACAATGAAAGGTCGAGCAGAGGCTGTTAGAAGAAATGTGCAAACAGATCGTCCAGGGTCACATTGAAGCTTCATTCACAAGGTTTCCACTTTCAACTTCATGATGAGGTAATTTCTTAATGCAAGATTCAGTCTTACACACCCTGCCTGTCATCATAAATAAAACTTGGCTCGAGTTAAGAAATGACTGTCTGATAAAGAGTCAGCAGAGGACAATGAGGGACTGTGGAGACTTGTAATCCAATAGTTTTTTAGGATCTCTCATCATCTCTCCATCTACGCTGTCTCTTTCTTCTGTTTCCTATAAATAACAACTTAGAACAAAACTACAGGCTCTGTAGTCGTGGCTGTGGAAATAAACTGAAAACAACTTATTCCCTAGAGAGAATAAAACAAAGGGTGGGCTACGCCTCACACACCTTTTAGTCTCTTTGAAGCCTGTGATGTTTTTGTTCATATGCTAAGTGAAATGTAATGACATAATATTTCAGTGGCTATAGTAATTTGTCCTGCTCCATTACAGACAGCACTACAGTCTTTACCTTTGAAGAGTGCTTCTGGCACCTGTCTTTGTGTTGTCCAGCTTTGATTTGGACACTTGGGAGCATCATCTGTCACCATAGCAACACTGAGTTTATCTTAGAGCACAGTCCAGAGAAATGGGTCAGTTTGTTTCATAACACCAAGGCTGTGAACTGACAGCCCCGTGTCAAGTAAGACACAACAAGACAGCTGCGCTTTGTCACACAGAGATGCTGAACGTAGACAAAAGCGAAGCTCGGGCCTTTGCATGTGACCTATAACATTTGAAAATGTAATTATTCTCTAAGTGGACTGTGTTAATTCCATGCAGCTGGAGTGACACTGCAAAAGCTGGAGCGGTGAAATTTGTCCCCAGAGGTTCACATGTCAGGTGTTTGCAGGGAGCTGGCAGGTCATTAGACTATTGTTCAACACTGCACTCAGTGGTCAGTTTATTAGGAACACCAAGCTCAAGTCATCCAACAGTCCTGCAGTAAATCCTCCTTCATTATGGTGATAATGTTCAGTTTGTGTTCAGACTGTTTGGATTCAACTGTGTGATCACTGTGGACGCTGTGGCCTGTGCTGCTGTATTTACTGTGTTATATGGGGTGGCACATCCCAAGTCTCTTATCTAATCGTTCCTGACTCCTTGTTCGACCCAGAAGTTGATCCGATTGGGCAGGATGTCCCAAGACTCTGGGAACATCCCAAGTCTCTTATAGCCACCATCGTTTTCCTCACTTGTGTCTTAGTCCCACCCATGTAAAATGCAAGGAAAACAAGAGGAGAGAGGACTCAAGGAAACACATGAGACATCCTTTCCTCAAATCCTTCATCAAAGTGTCCATTCACCAACTGATTTCTGAGAAAGGGGCATGTCAGTTGACAGAACACTTCCATAAAGGATGGTCTCGTGTATCCTCGGTCCTCAGAGCCAATATAAGAGGCATGGAACATCCTATGTCCTCGGTCGACCAGAACAACTTCCAGGTTGACCTGTGACGTAGGAACAAGCTTATAAGCAACATGAGATGTACCTTCTGATATCTGCTCTTAGGACCAAGGAGACATGAGCGAAGTTGTGGACCAACGCCCCTTTATCAGAAATCAGTTGATGATTGGACGCTTCAGATGAAGGACTGTCACCAAGGATGTCTCATGTCTCTAAAAACGCGATTCCTCTCTCCTCACAGCCGACGTGGGTGCAACTAAGACGCAAGTGAGTGAAACATGGATGCAATTATGGGCAGCTGTTTCTGTTACGTAGCCTAAATGCTAGAAACCCCTGTCAGTTTAACACAATCCAACTGAACAGCAGCACAAACTGCAGCCTCCACAGTGACCACACAGGTGAACCAACACCTCTGTGAAACGGTTTGAACACACACTGAACATTATCACCTTCATGAAGGATTTTTGGATCAGACTGACTCACTTTGAGCTGGGTGTTCCTAATAAACTGACCACTGAGTGCATATTCCCAGTGTTTCCACTTAGTTGAGCTTGTGTGTTGATGGCTGACTCTAGGGGGAGCCATTTTCTTATCTTCTTACCCCCCATCTTGCGCTCTCTCTCTCTCCCTTTATACTTTTCAGTGAATACTAATACAGTGAGTGGGCCCACCTCCCTTCCTCCCTTCCTCCCTTCCTCCCTTCCTCCCATCTTTTTGCAGGAATGGGCGGGAGAGGGGAGACAGAACAATTCCAGCTTCCTCATGAGGCAGGCGGTGCATGTCTAGCAGCAGCCTGCCTCCCTATTTTTCTCCCACTGAGCAATATTGGTGATGCTGTGCGCTGCTGCTGCTGCAACAATGTCTAACCTGTGTGAGTTGCACGTGATTTCAGACAAGAGTTGAGAGAGAGAGAGAGGAAAGGACATCTGTGGCTGCTTTTTGTCACCTGGATGGGAAGCCTTTTTTGGGAGGACAGACAGACGAAAGCAGAAGGCAGCCGGGGAAGGGGAACAACTGGCAGCAGCCAACCCCCCCTTCCACGTTTAGACCGGAGACAACGGAGCCCGCTGGAGTATTTGCCTTCTTCTTTCGCTTTTTGTTCTTTTTTTTCCTCATTGCGCTGCTGGGAGGTGCTTTACCTTTTCACTGGCTTGCTCTCTCAGTCCTCTGTCTTCTCATCTATTTCGCCATTTACCTGGTCAACAATTTCTCCTATTTATGAGCCAGACAAGGAGGGAGAGAGAGGGGCAGAGAAACAGAGAAAGAGGGGGTGATTTTGTTTTGGCCCCTTATCCTCTTTTCTCCCCCCTTCATTCATTCCTCCTTCCCTCTCCATTGCTGCCACTTCCAGCCCTTTCTCTCCATGTGCAGCCCACGCTCCCTCCTCCCTTCGCTGCCTCCCTGCTCCTCCTCCTCCTCCTCTCCACCACTTCACTCACTGTCCTCAGTAACTTTGGCTACTTTTTGACTCCACCACTGTTTTTATTTCCTTACTTTAAAAGCCTCTAATAGAGACATTTTAATTGGCTTGCTTGTATTTTCTATTTATGCCTTTTGCACTTTTGTACCTTCTCTTATTTTCCCCCTTCTCTTTTTTATCTCCCACCATCCTATGCATCTTTTTTGGGCTATTCTTAATTCTAATCATAGGTAGGTCTATTTAGTGTTTAGTGTTTGTCTCACGTCTTTGTTCCTTTTCTGTCTTTGCAAGGTGTTTTATGGGAGGTGCGCACACGCAGCCCGGCTTCGGTGTAACCATGGCTCCCCTCCCATCCAGCTCTCAGCTGATTGTTGCCTCATGCCATGTCATCCTCACGTCACTCTCCCCTCACATACTATAATCCTGTTTTTGTCTTTGTTCTCCTCAACCAAAGACCTCAGTGACTCATCAAGCAAGTCCCCAAGTCGGCTTCATGGAGCCGCATTTCGACCGCCTTGCTATGTCTGTGTTGTTGCACAAAAGTCTGTGTTTCCATTAAAATGTCTGAGACGCCCCTTTTATCACACTCCCTCCTGCTCACACTTCCTTTGTTTGCCGTCATTCTCATTCAGGGACAACCAAACTCCCCATCTGCTCAAACTGAGGTGTGTTTAGGTTTCCTGTCATGTTGATCAGGTGAAGGTCAACCTGAGCAAAGGCCTAATTCATAAGCAACAGTGCACTGTTGTTTCCAGTCAGCGCTGCTCCGTCCTGCATGTCAGGGTGTCACCTGTGCTTCTACACTCCTCTGCCGCCTTCTTCTCTGCCCTCTTTTCCTTTCTCTCCTCCCTCTGTCTCGTATCTTTTCTGAACTGACTCTCATTCCTGCACACAGACACACACAAGTCCTCAAAGAGAATGGACTAGAAGAGAAACTGGCTTTTATCCTCCTGAGGATTATTTGTTTTTTCCTCCATAATTTTCACCTTTTCCACTCACTTTGCCTTGAGTTTTAATCTCTCTTTTCACCTCTTTCTGCATCTTTTCTCTCCATCACTTCCATCCTCTCACCCTCTGAACCGATCAACTGATTGATTTATTTCTTGTTCCATTTGGTTTTGTTCATTTTCCATCTAACACATTTCATGTCCTACCGCTCACCGGTCATTGCTTTGCTGCTTATTTTGGGTTTTGGTGATGTAATTTTGTAACTTCTGCCATTTATTGAAACCCGAGTGGCAGGTTATTCATGAGCAGTTTTTGCGTTTTGGACAAAGAGGATATGTAGAGCTGACTGAATAACTGTGTGTGATGTGTGAGCTACAGAGAGACTCGGCTCTAGACAAATGCATAGCACAGTGAAGCAAACCACACAGCTCATGCTCTTGTCCATCTCCTTTTTTATATTTCCACTTTTTTCCTGAAGGAGATTTAATGACTTTCCTCTTCATTACATGAAGATAATGGGAAGTGGGACTTCTGAGCAGCCGTCACCCTGATAAAGCCACTCTGGATAATGCCGTTTTCCTGTGGAATTACCCTTTAAATTTTTTTATTTTATTCCAAAAGAAAAAAAAATTAAGAATCATAAAAAATAACTTCTAAATTCTGGACTGTTTTTGACATTTTTGTAATGGACAGAAGCTGAACTCACTATTTCTTTTTCCACTATTGAATCTTAATGGGATTTTACTAACGTGGATTAAAGACTCAAGCAACATCTTAGTTGGTGTAATAGCTGTGATTCTGACCATTTCTCCAGCCTTCAAATAGATTAAAAGTAATCTGTCACTGTTAAGGGTTAAATAGGTGAGTACGGTGCCGTGCTATTGCTCTTGCATGTTTTGGGTGATGAATAATTGATGCAGATATTCACCTTCATATTTATGGTCATTAACCCAGTGCTTTCTGTGCACATCACCATCCTCTCGGTTCCCTTTGGTTTGCAGTTTGTTCACGTGGAATAAACTCACATGCATATGCTCAGATGTGCTAACGTAAAACTGAATTGACCTGTTAAAGTGAATCTCCACACTTCGTCCCCAGTTTTGTGTCTATTAGCCGCCCTCCAGCCGACGGAGCAGCAGTCAGATCAGCTGTCACTGCTGCTTATTTAAAGCAATGGAGTGTGTGTGTGTGTGTGTGTGTGTGTGTGCCAGCGTGAGGGGAATATATACTGTACGTAGGTCGATAAAGTAATCTTTGTGAAGAGACTGTCTGCACTGCCCTTTTTCTCACAGCACTTATTTTTATCTGCTGTTATTCCAAAGACACGGCGCTGCACCGTGGGAGAGTGACAGTACATCTCATCTCTCTGTGGAGTGTGTCGGAATGAAACTTGAATCGGCAGTAAAATGCTCATTAACCCCGACACACACACAGATGCTTTGTCCATCTACCGTCACAGGTGCAGTGGCGATTGACCCTTTTTTTCTAATTAACTTTGCTGTGATTTGGCTGACAGCACTTTGGACTACTTCGGTGTCTGTGCGTGCACAGTGCACCATCCAGGCTGCGACTACCTACCTGTGAAACCCACGTGGGACCTACCCTCATGACCAGGGACCGTTACCCATTCTGCTCTTTGGCGCACACGTGACCCCAGCAGCCAATCCACAGACTTTAGCCCAGGCTGCCTGTCAAAGCCGTCACTGCTGCCAAGCTGCAGAATGGATGTGTCCAGTCCACACGGCTCACTGCTGTCTCCTCACTGGAACGATCCCACAAGTAGTCCGTCACACTACAGGCGAAAGGCAGAATCAGAGCCAACGGGGATGTGGATGTTAGGTCCCACTTACGGCAGCTGGTCCAGTTGATTTGACTGGCGGCAGGCAGAGGACACTGGTGGTGTCCACCGGTCCTTCAGCTGTCGGTCACAGGTCACAGGTCACAGCTAAGCACCACGTCCATGCAGACACGGAGGTGATTTGCTGGGACATGTGGCTTTGTGTCTAGATTGCATTTATGACCGTGAGGCCTCTTGTTACAGATGATTATCGGCTGTGTGAGCTTTCCCCCCCATGATTCAGTTTCTTTAACAGAAATGTGAAATCATAATGTTTGCTCATTTATTTCTTTAATGTGATGCTAAAAATTAGTGTTAGTTAAATGAATTATGTTTGTGTAAACATCACCACATTTGCCTGAGCAGTAAATCAGCTGCGTTTTGGTGGCCGGAGCACCACCACATATTTCAACTGTTCTGACAATTTGTAGTGTTTGAAACTGTTTGGTGCCAGAAGCGCGTGTGAAAACAGAGTGTGCCAAGAGCCAGCAGAGCCTCAGAGATTTCACAGGCACCGTGTCTGCAGTTCTGACTGAAGTGGTCAGGAGAGGAGGCAGCAGAATGCCCGCTCCTCTTCCCACTGGCTCCCTCGGTCGTTTTCCTCCCTGTGCGCCCTCTAATAAGGCAGCTCAGCTCCTGAGTCTGGCCCCGAGCACGGCGTGCATGTGCTTTCATGAAGCATCAGTAACACTGTTAGATATTTTATTTTCAGCTAACTTCCGCTCTGCTGCACGTTACTGTGTGCATCAGACGGGTTTAGCTCATGAAATCCAAAGTGTTTAACAAGCTACAACGTACATCAGATTCACATCATGCGTGATGCTGCGTGACGACCTCGTCAGTCTGAGGCTCATCCAGTGTCTGAACCCTGTTCAGCCAATCAGAGAGCGAGCAGGAATATGGGTCATGATCTGATATTACAAAGGCTGTTAAATAATTCTTCAGGGCAGATGATAAGAGGTATCGACGTGTAGGCCCCTGTTGGAGCTGAGCCCAGGTTTAGGCCCCTGTTGGAGCTGAGCCCACGTGCTTCATGTGTTTGGTTTCACTGTATGTCCAACGCTGTTGTTTCATGTTGTAGCATGTACAGTACGTGTCACGGCTCCATGTTGCGTGGGACCCATCGGTCTATTAAATATGAAAAGTCCAATCTGTCGCCCCGCAGAGACTGGTGTATTATTCATCACCATATTTCAGTTTATCATTTATTTACCTGAAGCATGGCCCATACTCGCCACTTCAGTTTGGACACTCACATGCACTCGCGTGGTCGTGATGTGCGAGTTGTGTATATGTTTAATGTTCTTCTGATGCGGTGCATTACTGTGGTCGGGGAGGAAGACAGGGACATTTCACTACGACGGAGTGGATTATTTATTATATTGGCCTGCATGGATGTTCCTCACAGACTGTTTATCCCTGTACACACACACACACACACACGCACACACACACACTCTACAGCGAGTGAGATATAAACAGATTAGAGACACACTGGGTCTCATTCACCAGCATCTTCCTACGGGGTTTCTTAAGAAACCTCCTAAGAAAAGTCTACTTCTGATACACGAACACGTTCCTAAACCTGTGTTCTTATATTGCTGAATCCCATGTGTTTGTAAGTCGAAAGCGCGTGCCAGTCGTTCCTAATTAGCCGATGCCAATTAAAGGGCTGGAGACTGCAGGGCTGTGTGCGCACACCTTACACGGAAAGTCAGGAAACGAAAATCTAAAGACGGTGGAGCAGCGAACTCCAAACTGAAGAAAGGCGTGTGAAGTGGAGGACGGCCAACGAGCTGCCGTATTTAGAAGCTTCAGTAGTGGATAGAAAATAAAGCCAAAGGACGCACGGGACGCACTGACTCGTTCAGGGAACGCTGCATAAGGAGAAGGGCGCACGGCTGATGGGTATAAAGATGTTTGAGGCACCAAAACCAACAGAGGAGAGATGCTGACCCGTGGAGGAGGACATGGCTGAGCTGGACCAGCGCGTTGGGGCCGTGCGTGGCTCTGCCGGGGGCCTGTCAGCTGAGTAGACCTTCGTTTGGGCCCCCACGTCCCTTTGACTGTTGTCAGATGTGGTGCTGGACAACAAAACGCCGAGAGACACTTAAAGAAATGAACAGAAATGAGAAATGAAGATATGCACTTAAACATGTAAATTACTGGCTTGCAGTCATTTTGTGCAGAGTTTATTCGTTTTAAACCACCAAGCTTTGTACAATAGTGGGAAAAATGAAATAATAAAACTGATTGTAACTTAAATCTTATGCTGTAACCGGAGAACAGAAGAAAACTAAATAAGTTATTTCAGTGTAGATTCCGATCTTACCGAAGAGCAAATCCCAGATACGTCTTTGGTGAAAGCCGGTACCGTCGTTAAAACTCGTTAAAACGTTGTAATTCGTTCTTCAGGACGGTCGGTGAACGAGACCTAGTGGTTCGGACGTGGCCTTCACTGTGGGTGTGGATTGTAAACGGTAATGCAGGAAGCTGGGTTCAGATAAACACTAAACACTGTGCCAGAGCCTGTAACCCTCTGACCTCTGCTCTCTTTGCAGTAACAGACCAGCGCACGTCAGAAAATCCACCGTCTTCAGAAAGGACGTGAAGCTGCTCTCGTGGAGAACAGTCGCCTCCAAACTGCCTCTTTCTGCTTTCGACCCAAACTGATGTGAGTTCACATTCCCTGGCTTCATTTTTAATCTCAGCTCTCCATCCACTGACTTCTGCATTTATTTGAACAAAGCCCACAGTCCTAATGAGGCGTCCTGGTGGAGAGGTCCAATTCAATTAATCAGGGAGACTAAAATGCATTAAGTTGATAAAGTGTGGCTGGTGAGAGCAAACAAACCTGCTGCTGGAGTGGCACCTGGAAATGATGAAGGGCTCCTTTCTGGAGCTAATTAAACTCATATTTCTACTAATTGGTCAGCCATGTTGACTGGTGTTATCATTCCAGATGATTAGCCCCGCCCCTCCGCCCCTTGCAGAAAAAAAAGCCTCCAAATTTTAATTCATAGTTTCAGTGTGATGCATGGGGACAGTAAAACAAGGATTTTCTGAAGGGTTTTGTTCAGTTTGAAGCCTTCTTTGTTTAATTTGATACCTTCTGTGCTCCTTTTGTCACAAGCAGAGATTGAAGTGATGCTCTTTTCAGTTTGAGAAATTGTTTTCTGTCTTAATGATCCTGTATTATGATAGCACAGTATGGGAGACAAACTCACAGAAGGGGAACAGTCATCACTCTCGGGGACAAGTGAAATGTATTGACTGAGTAAAAAGCCACATGGTTTACACTCAGTCTCTATTATGACAAAAACTCCAAATGAACATTCTGAAGATGGCTTCTCACAATCAATAACTGTGTTGTTGTCTCTCATGTTCATTGTAGTTCCCTCAGTCTGAGGCTATGAGAGGGAGAGAGGAGGCCCAGGCTGCACCATCATGCTGCTTCTGAGACACTGGGATGAGACTCTGGCTGGCAAAACACAAGGTAAGAAAGCAGCCATGCACGAGGCCTCTCTGCAGCCAGCAGTTTGTTCGTGTCGTCCCTGTAGAGGAACAGTTGTAACAACCCGTCTGGTCTCACCTGTGTGTTTGTGCGTCTGCAGCTCAGTGATGAACGGTCTAATCCTTCTCGAGGTGTTTCTGCTTGTATCTCACACTGGGTTTGCTTGAGGTTCAGGTTAACGGGTCAAGGTGGAGCCTACAGACAAATGATCAGTGGCGTGCGTCAGCGCCTGGATGCTCAACCTCAATTAAAGGATTAGTTGGATGTGATTTTTGCGGCAGTGTGTCTGTTTGTGCACATTAGCTTTGCACTGCTGTGCTGTATGTGTATGAAAGGGGGAGAGAAATGGTATGTTTTGGATGATAAGGTAATAGAAGACATAATTCTCTGTCTGTCCCAGGACCAAATGTATTTGCCACGGGGCCCCTGAGAGTCCACTATCATATCAACACATTCCATTGTGTCCTCAGTGCGAAGCTTCTTTTATTTACATGATTCATGAGTTGTTTAGTCCTTTTTTTAAACCACCTTTCTCCCTGTTTTCCTCTGTCTCTCTCCTGTGCACTATTAATCAGCTGTGGTGCCTCAGTGCAGGGGAGCGAGGAGTTTTCTTCCTATGTTGGGGTGATGGACTATGTGCACACTGTGTGAGCACAATGCAAATGCTGCCATTACAGAGTTCCTCCTACTACTTTAAGGCGCTAGCCAGCAGAGGAGTGACAGCAGCTTTATAATGAAGAGCCTCAGCTTCAGTTAGCTGAGAGTCACACAGCTGTCTGGGCTAGTGCTGACGCTGCAGATCGGCTGCGAGTGCCTGACATCGTAACTCACTGCCATATTCAGTACCAGGCAAAGGTTTGGAAACACCTTCTCCTTCAGTGGTTTTCTTTGTTTATGTCTTTTTCTACACGGTAGATTAATAGTGAAATAAGACACTGAATTATGTGGTGAGCACAAATGTTTGCCTTGATGGCGGCTCTGCACAACCTCCTGCAGTGAGTTTGAGTTAGTGGGTGTGTCTGCTCAGAAGTTAACAGGTGGAGTTTTTTGGCACTCTAAAGCATTGGAGACCTTCAGTTGTGTTGCGCTGAGGAAGTGTTGGTATAAATGACAGTGGTGGTCGACTACTGTATTAATCCACGTTATGGCTGGAAAACCATCAAACCTTATGGTGAAACGGGTTCTCATGAGGAGCACCCTCCGCTGCAGAGGAGATCATCATTCCCAAATCGGCAGTTAACAGCACCTCGGCTTTAAGGTGGCATCCCAGAGTTCAAGAAGCAGATGCATCTCGACATCAGCTGCGGTACAGAAACCACCACTGGAGAGATGGAACGAAGAGGAGAAACAATGTTAGACCAGTGGAAATCTCTGCTTTGGTTTGACGAGTCCAAACTGAGACTCTGTACGAAGGAGACGGGTGGAGAGCTGCATTAGGTGACCTGACCTCCACAGTGACCTGATCTAAACCCAGCTCCTGTGATTTGGGATGAGCTGGTCTGCAGAGTGAAGGAAAGGCAGCCAACAAGTTTGAGCACATGTAGGAACTCCTTCAACACCGGTGGAAGCCATTCCAGGCGCCCACCTCATGGAGTGGGTCGACAAAACGCCAGGACTGTGCAAAGCCGCTGTCACAGCACACGGTGGCTAAGTTGAAGAAGCTAAAGGTTAAAACATATTTTCTTTCTTGAGCACTTTTTTTGCTGACTATGTCATTTCATATGTGTTGTTTCACAGCGTCGATGTCTTCTGTATTTATCTTCAATGTTGAGAATAATAGATGAACTGTTGAAGACGAAGGTTCAAACTTTAGTCTGACACTCCTGATGAATCAGCTCTAATAATGGATCTTATTTACACCGTTCAGCCTTCTGTGTGAAGGAACAACGTCGACTGGGGGGACCGCAATGGAAATACACTTTGGGCTTTCTTGTGTTTTAATCCTGGATGACTGTAACTGCTCTTAGTGTGTATGAATCATCAGGTAAAATTTATTCATTCATGCCTACAGTAAATGATTGTTAGTTTATTAGGCCTATTATTCAGGTCCAGCAGCTTCCTGCTCTACACAAACAGTCTGGAAGAAACACCAGTTGGACTAATGGTTAGAATAATAATGTCTCCTGAGTTTTTTATCGCCGGTCCCTGTGTACCGAACCTAAATGGGATTTTGGCCTCTCATTATTTCACCACCACTCAGTGCTATTAAGTGCAGCACAGCCCTTCACTCGTTCTTCAGTCAATTCCAATTAACAGACTCTTATTTAGACTGTGAGGCCACAATCTTTGATGTGTGAAATATAGTATGAAGTATTTTAGGCTCATCTTTCTCCTCCCTGCTGACGTGCAGAACGTAATGAACGGCTGATTTCTGTACTGAAGTGTAGCAGTGAGATAAACGAGCGTCTCTGCTGAGATCCGTCTTCTCCTGTGCTGTTGCTCTAAGTCAGGTGTTGCATTCGTCTGCTGAATCAGCCAATGTGTGCTTGATTTTGCTGAATGTCTTTTTGTTTTCTTTAACCGTATCTTCCTAAATTAGTGCAAAGTCAAGAGTTAGGAGGAAAGAACCAAGAGGAAGTGGACAGGAAGTGGAGGATAGTGTGCAGCTAGGCGTGACGTCAGATGGGCCTGTGCTGCGGATAGTGTGCAGCTGGGCGTGACGTCAGATGGGCCTGTGCTGCTGTAGTTTGTTACCATATGTAATATTACACAGCAGTGTGTGGGTTATCTTGTTAGTTTTATTTGAAGAAACTTCTCAGGCACAGCAAACTCACCCTGGCATGTTTCTGTTTGTGATGAATTCAGTCATATTGTTCAACCAAGACTCCACTGATGTTCAGTCATTATGTAGCTGAAGACACTTGTAGGACGGAGCAGTGGGATCATACACAGTATGGCCATCAAGTGAGTCTGGACTGTACGGTCACATGCTTTAGCTTGACCTGGAAACACAGCTAAGATCTGTGTGGTGGCGTCGATTGGGCTACAAAACAGCAGATCAGTACAGATTCACTCATCCTTGTCTCCAGCAGCAGAGCAATAACATAAGTTACCTGGAAAACGGCGAGAAGATCATTAACTGAGCGCTGCACTTCCAACATGTGCTCTGGTGACATCTGTTAGTTTCTGGCACATCCTCCGATGCTGCTGTGTGGAGGCTCCAGGTGTCGTCAGTGTTTGTGCTCCAGGAACCAGCACCGAGATAATTAGGTGATCAACAGAAATGTAATAGAGAGCTACTTTTAATTTCTTATTTAAGGCATTTAGCATGGAAGGATGTGTCAACATGTGCTGACTCTCAGATGGGACACTTGGCTTTTTCTGTTTTGTGTAATTGTAAAATGAGTTTAGGTCGTTGGTTGAGCGAAACAAGCAGCCTGCAGTGGCCCCTTCTGTGATGGGTGTGTTTCATTCCTTTTCTATAAAGCAGGCCAATGTTTGACACAGTGAAAAACAATGTTAGCACTGTGTTAGCCTCCCTTTATAGCCACCAAATCAGCACCGTTAAAACATGCCGAATCATCCACTAGCACTTCCTGTTTACAGGATACCAATGGCTGTACAGACAACTATCACTGGATTAGGTTGATACTGAAGAAAACTTAAAAATATCCTGAATCTCAGGCAAGTTCTGGGTTTTAAGGAGAGTATCGGTTCTGATTTCTCAGTTTATGGGTGTTCATTCTAAGTAGACATAGGAGACTTGTTAATGTTGGAAAGTATAATTTACGTAGAATCTAAAAATGTATATATCATGTTTGTGTGTTCAGATCTGACGTGTTATGACGCCATAATAATGACATTTATTTTTATAGCACATTTAAAACGGCAAAGCTGTGCCAGAGTGATTCATTTACCATAAATACCATATTAAAAGCAGGTCACAAAAGTAGAAGCAGAAGTCAGTAAAATTTTAAAACAAATATAACACATTACAGGCATAAATAAAAGTGAGATCGTGGTGATAAGATATAATAAAGCTGGAGGCAGAATGCTGGCTATGTTTTGAGCATAGATTTACAAGCTCCCGTGTTGGAGATGTAATATTTATAGGAAGACTATTCCAAAGTTGGGGGGGCTGCCACTGCCCAGGTCACCCCGGCGCTTACGTTTTGACCTGGCGACTTCCAGGAGAAGCTGATTTGAATATCAGAGTTGACTAGAAGAAGAGAACGATTTCTGATGTAACTTGCAGGCCAAACGTCCAGAGCCAACTTCCTGTTATTCTTAGAGCACTGACATGCAGCTGTCTGGTCAACTTACCTGTAAAATAATCAGTAAGGAAAACAGACCCAGCCTCAGTGTGTCTACACTACGTCCATATCTGTGTGCTGCTGTATGAAAAACTTGTGTTCATGAATTTCACTATTGTTTCTTTGTGTGTGACCTGTTGTATTAATACGTAGATCAAAGTCCAATTCTCTCTGTGTGTGAACATGTGTATATACCTATACAGCATACATACGTGCACCTGACTATAAGCAGCTGCTGTGCGCTCACCTTCAGCTGATTGTTATTCTCAGGCCTCACCTCGAGGTTGTGATGCTGAAGCAGGTGGATGATTTGTTTTGGTTCCTGGTGTATATGCCCCCGGTCAGCATCTTTACACAGCTGCAATCAATGGGCTCCTGCCTAGACGACTAACGGTGCAGAAGACTTGAGAGAAAGGATGACAAACCAAACACGCTTTTCATTTGCATACTGTAACTGTGCAGTTGAAAATCAGATTCAGCTTTAAATTGACGTAACACTTGTGTCACAGGATGTGATTAATGTTGTCCTTCCAGAGTCTGATTAATGTCTTGTTGTGCAGAAACTGCAGCGAAACAATACAGTTTAAACTTCTTTTTCTTCATCTCCGCTCCATTAAACGGCGTTTTTCTTTCCCATTATGGAAACTGTGCTGGACAATAAATCAGTCTGTACCAGGGAAGAGATGACTCTCCCTGATACAGCGTCCTACCAGGAATGAGTTACGCCCC